CAGCTCCAGGCTTTCTCGTCACCTAGTGACGAAAAGCATAGGGACGGCTTCCCTGATAATCGAGAAGCCGGGTGGCGAGTCTTTACATGCCACCCAGCTAATCAGGAAGCCGGTTGGCGAGTCATTATACGCCGCCTGGCTACCTTAATGGGACTTCCGGTATCAGTATTCGGTATCGGCGAAAACTGAAAAAAATATATATCAGTACTCGATACTGAAAAACTGGTATCGGTGCATCCCTATTTGGAACCTAATCCCTCTGTTACACCTCAGTTGTCCATCTTTTTGGTCTGATGTACAGATATCTATGAATGGTTCTATTTAACTACCAAAATCACTAAAACCTGTATCTTATCTCTGAATAATCTTGTTTGCTAATTTGAAAAGCCAGTGTAAAAGAAAAGTGATGGTGGAAAATAACAATTCTGGGTTTATCCAATAATTTCTGGCCTATAAATTCATAATGGTCTGCATATGGGGACATGGCAGTGGTGTGTCCATTGTGCTGGAAGGTGTCCCTCTTTCTCACCTTAGAAAGTTGGGAGGTATGGGTACTATTTTGTTCTGGCTCCATGAACAACCTTTTAGATAAATTCTCTGAATCCAAATATTCTCAAGCTATAACCTTTGTTATTGGCCTTATAGCTGACCAATAGCACCAACAGACTCAGACTGTAGCAGTCACTATCGCGTTAAAGCTCAACTCAAGCTTTCCCTATGGTCTTGCATGGATGTACAAAACTGAAGTCTGTACAACCATGCTGTACCGGCTGTACTGAAATCGCTTATTGCTGATTTCACTGCACACTGTGAGATTCTCCCAATGTGCATTAGAAACTGCAGCAAGTCAGATACAGCAGGCCTCCTTTGCTGGCTGAAGGATTTTCAGCATCTTCTAGCCCTTTGCTCCCCAACCTACCCTTTCATCTCTTGGATTTCAGTCCTTTCAATCTTGGAGGCTCAGCATCAAATGTGGTTGTTACCTAGGGCAGTCTGCCCTAGGTAACAACCACCATTCCTCCAGACTGACACCCATCCATCATGGCATTTTGATATTTGCATAACTCCTCTCAAGATTCAGCCCACTGCTTACATCAAGGTCTTCAGAGAAGAGCACTGAGGCAGAGGGCACCCTTCCTATCCCCCCTACTAGCCACAATCTGCCTGCTTTGCATAGAGCATCTCTAAGACCCATAAAGAGGAACAAGAGGAACCAAGGAAGGCAAAATATAAACAGAATAAAGTTCAGATTTAATCTCTGATTAGCGTAGTACAGGTGGTATACTGTATATGCCCATGTTTGAAGCTTCCCACCTCAAGGAATATATTTAATTTCTGGTTAGGCAAAGGGAGCCCTAGTTGAACTGTTAAGAGTGCTGACCCTGAGCTCTCTCCATAGTTCTAACATGTGATGAGACAATGTATTAGACCGATACGTTTAGGGATTTGTAGCACTGAACTAGGCATTGTGTGACAGCCTTCATGGGAAACAATGAACCTCGCTCTCATGTGTCTGTAGTTCAGATTTGAAGTAGAAGTTAAGTTCCAACCATAATGCACTATACTTGCATGCCCTAAATAAGTGCAAATGTGATGCAGTTTTCTCTATTTGCATGTGCCGAGGTCTGTCCTGGTCCTGTATATGCAAATTCACATTCCATTGGCAAAACTGACAAGCAAAATAACTAGTTATCAGTGCTCAAGTCTGAAAGTCAAAGGCAGGAAGATATGTAAATGATGGCATCCCCAGCATCTATGTTGCAAGGTATTCTTCTATTGATGCTGCAGACCATATACTTGCTATATGGGCAGCAACACAGCCCATTCACCTTATATCACATTGTAAGATACAGACAAAGCCAGGTTTTATATACTTTGAATGACTCTGCCAGCTGTGATGGTGGATTTTCTAAATGTTTTGAATTCTATAGTTCATTTGGAGGCATATGGAACCTAAAAACAGTAAGTGTTGTAACACATAATGGGTTGTTGTTGTTGTTATTATTCTTCTGCAACAGTGAGATAACTTCTCTGAAGTGGCCCTTCCTTACCTGCCCCATTCCAGGGCTCTCAGAGTTGTAGAGGGTCCTCACTTCTACGTGCTCTGGGACTAGTCTGGTGCCATACTCTGGCATTTCATCCCAGTGCTGCAGGACATACAAAGCTTTGTGTTCATTATAACCAGACAGCATCTCATCTTCTTCCTTGTTCTTGGATTTTACGAAAGCCTCTGAAATACAAGATGGATGCTAAGATTATAGCTTTTTCGCGGTTAGGCTCCATTCACAGCTAGGTGATACCTATTACATGTGTATCACGCTCGTCTTTTTTGCGTGCTCGTTTTACATGCATATGTTAAAGGAGCAGATTTTGCCACTGCGTGTTTTCAAGCATTTCTATTCAGCCTATGGGACAAAACACGCTGAAATCTGCCCCAAAGCAGCTCATGTACATGATTTGGAGAAATCAGCTCACTTTCCAGGTCAGCTATTTTGTCCTAGGTTGTTCACTTCTCCTGCCTTCTCCAAACTCTTCACCCTTTTGTGAATAGACCCCTAAATATTTTGAGACTGGAGCTTCAGATAGCAAAGGAAATATGCCGCATGGAGGGGAAGAGAGCAGCCAAGAGGAAAGTGCTGTATCAAGGAACCATGTTGTAGTAATAGGTTATAACACTGATATATACAAACAGAACTGTTTAAAGAGAACCTGTTTTAGACAATTAAAAGAAAAGTCTTGCCTAATAGTAGACACCACCGGATGCATGATATTACCTTTGTTAAGCTGGCCATACACCTATAGATTATTATTATTATTATTATTATTATACAGGATTTTTACAGTGCCAACAGTTTGTTCAGCTCTTATTATCTGCAGATTTTCTATGGTCAGATGGAAAAAGTACAACAGATTCCTCTATCTATGCTATCAATGCTAAAATGTGTGGATGGGGGAATCTCCCACTGGGTCAAGCTTCAGTATCTTGCTAGTCGGCCCCGTTGCCACACAGTTATCCAGCTTCTCAGGGTCTAGAATCGTTGGGGACTTGGTATAAGGTTATGTCATAGAGATTCTTATTTAATGTTGGCCATTGTATTGTTTACTATTGTGGGTAATCTAAAGTACTGAGGGCAGTTCACATGCACGGTTAATATTGTATTTGGAAAAGAAGGAAAATACTTGCTTTAATTTGTCAATCGTTCAAGCTGAAATCTTTGCAAATGAAGACAAGCAGCAGTTTAGTGCAGATCAAGTACCTTTTCCCCCTCTTGTCATGAACTATAGAAGACAATGCTCTGGAAATAGGCTGAGCTGCTCTCTATACTTTTTACTGAAATCACAGCATCTCACAATACAAATTCAGTGCTGAAAGAAATTTTGACGCGTTTCATACTTTACATAGCTTATCACGTCTGGTTCTGTCTCTTCTGTGGCTTTGATCAGGAAAAAGAAACAGCATTAAATGGCCATAATTAATGGCTCCCCATCATCTTACCTTCAGGAAATGCCTCTCTGGGTATCTTAAAGATCTTATTATTCACTTTGACAACTTCCTTCCTGTACTCTGCGGCAGGCAGGTTGTGTTTTTTGCACAAAGCGCTGAGAATCTGGGAAGGTTTGAAGGCATCTCTCCATGCATTGTAGCCTTCACTGAAGGACAAAAAAAAAAAAATACAATTTAGAACAAAAAGGACGAAGGACATTTTATCTACTAGACTGAACATCTTTCAAATACAGGAATCCATGCATCAAGAAGAAAATAATTGAGGGCTTATTGGTACCAAGTCTTTATGAAATGAATATATTTTATGATGTTGTCATGCACCAATGCACCTTGATACATAGATCTAGAGGAATATAAATGTCAGGATGGGATTCCCATCACTGGAGCCTGTAGGCTTACAACCTCAGGAGTCCAGTGCAATCTGCTAGGATTGTGTCTTTTACATAGACCACTTGCGTGTTTTAATGGTCCTATCTGACTTATAGGATATATATGGTCAAAAACTACAACAAAATCTGTATTTCTATATTGAATTTCCATAAGTTCTATCACACTCCTAATGATCATATCCATCTAGAAGTTTGTAAACGTACTTATTGAAGATGCCCATAGGATGGACTTCCTCAATGCATTGACACAGTTTTACTCAGCCCCGTGAATATGCACAGAGCCTACCTTCTGAACTACAACTCAACGTCCGAACAATGAAACATTGTCATTGCTTTCCGGATGCATGATAGGATATGTAGTCTTGAGAAATGGAGATTGCATAACATCAAGCAGCAGGAAAAATAATCACAAAGCACACTGGGAATCCAGGAAGTTGTTGGAAGTGAGGGGCAGATGGAATGCAGTACTCATTACATAAAAGGGATTTTTTCAAGTAAGCTTTGATTGCATTATGAAAATCAACTCTAGTATGTATTCCTATTAGAATGCTACAGGTATATCTAGTATCCTTCACTTTATGCCTTCAGCAGTCTTTTTTTCATAGATATTTCTCAAATAATATATATTGACTATTGGGAATATTTGGAAAACTATAAGCCCCCATTCACACCTCCCACAGTGTGACAATGCTCAACATGAGAAATCCTGTTATAGTCAATGGAGTCCATTCACCCCAGAGTGTTGTGTTGTCTGCCACTTGTAGCTTAAAGACAGGCATAATTGCTTGTGTTTGGCCCCATAGACGTCAAAGGGAATTCCTAAAACACACATGTAATGCATGTTTTTTGAGTGATTACGCACATCACAGCTGTCTCATCCTCCTAGTAACAAGCTTTCCATTGGTTAAAACAAAAAACCTTGAAACCTCAAAATGCCTGAAAAACTCACCCAAAAATATGCAAAAAAAAAAATGGTCAAGCTCATGTGTGAATGGGGGCTCAAGCTGCTGACCCCTATATGTCATCACTAAGTGGTAACAATGTCTACCCTACGTATCTTCTTATTTTATAGCATCATAAAGGGGAGCATTTTGTGCCTTCCACACTTACACATCATACTGTAGGGCCAGACCACAGTTGGCCCGATGGCTGCTGTAGAAACGATTTTCCAGATCCAGCTTTGTCTCACCAATCAAGTCATCTGATCCGATCAGATCATGGTCATACACTAAGATGGTCAGTTCTGAGTCCACTGGGAAGGAGACCGTCATTTCGAACACCCTGAGCATTGGATGGAAGGAGATAATGAGAAAGAGTATAAGAGCTGTAGTAAAGACCCAACAAATGACTCGGGTACCAAAGCACTAAGTATGCACTTTTAAAGTGTTTTCAATTCAAATGCGTATGTGAATATGTCCAGCTTAAAGTGTATGTATACCCAATTTTTTTTATTGTTTTAGATAGAACCTTGGAGCCACAACAGGAAGTGAGAGGCATTCTCCTTAAAGTGGGAGAAATTCCCATCTAAGACACTGACAATGGTCATCAGGACAAATAGATGGTGAATCTTTCCAGCAGAGACATAGACCACAATAAAGACTTGTTTTCCCTTTACATATGCTTTAGGGGTATTGAGAACATGTGACTAACCCCCTTTCTCTGACCTGGTTCTTTCTGATTGGCTGTCACATGGGTTTGGGAGAGAATCCTTCTATGAATTCAGTGGTGGGGAGCAAGTATAAGCAACTGATGGAGCCGTCATTAGAATCAACCTGTTACTTGCTTATTTTTGGTATCCCACATTGGAAAGGACTCTCTTCTTTGATGTATTTGAATGCTCTAGTCAGGCTGCTCCAAACACAGACAGGTAAATCCGAGGAGAAGGCAATCTTGAGTGAATTCAATCAAGAACAGACGGGGAATTCCACCACAACTTTTAGAGTCCAAAGTGGTTATTTATTAACAAAAGGTCAACAGAATAAAACAACCAATGGGTTTCGGGGGTCAAGAAAAATCCCACTTCATCAGGGCTTGTGTATTGCTTTGTTAATTAAGTCTTTTTCAGGAGAGTATAGATTCAGTTAAAAAAATGATTTCCAATATTTAACAGTGTCTGCAGATTGAATGGTATTTATGGTTTTATCTACAAAATAAAAACTTTTTGGCTGTAGTTCCAAGTTAAAGTTCTAGTACAGAGTATTAACAGGAAGGTATGCTAGGGGTGTGGTATTTCTTATAACACTGGCTGACAGCACGATATAAATGATACAAGACCCATCCACTTGGCACTGATGCTATGCTAGGGGCGCAGGATATTTTACAACACTGTGATTGACAACATGATAGAAATGATACAAGATGCACCCATTTGGCACTCTTGCTATGCTAGGGGTGCAGTGTTTCTTACCACACTGTAATTGACAACACGACAGAAATGATACAAGACCCACCCACTTGGCACGCATGTCATGCTAGGGATGCAGTATTTCTTACAACACTGTGACTGATAACACTATAGATGATACAAGACCAACCCACTTGGTGCTCATGTTGTGTTAGGGGTGCAGTATTTCTTACAACACTGACTGACAACACAATGGAAATGATATAAGACCCACTCACTTGGCACTCATGTTGGAAATTTTCATCCAAGGTACTGCTGTAGTTTGTGCGCAACACCTTCAATAATTACTGTAGGAAGTTACTCTAATGTTTGCTTAAAGACCTTTAAATATACATGATTTCCTTTTTTTGGTACGGTTCACTTTTATTTCTTGTATCCAAATCTATTCGAGGCTCAAGCTAAGCAGTTCATAAGAGCAGCAATTTTCAAGCAAAACATTTGTCTCAATGACTTGTAAAAACAGGATCCGGCTGCGGGAAAAAACAGCGATGCTGCATCCATTAATTCAGTCAGCTTGTATTCTCCATTACTTCCCCAATAAATAACCTTTCTCTCCTTCCCACGCACTGGAATCCTTGTTAGAAGATGATAAACTACAGCCCAACTGGCTAACCAGTCTGGGTATGTACTTTACTGCAGCCTGGAAGTAATAAGCTGTATTAGGCTCTATGTTCTTGTCTTATATATGGTTCTTTAATGTTGCAGAGTGTTTAGCCATTTTGTTGCAAAGCGGTGGGGTCCAGGGACAGCCCTGAATGTCCTATTTATATATATTATATTATTATATATTATACACAGCTGATGCTACTTACTCTCCAAACACAGGGTTCAGCTGCTTGGGGATCTCTCTCTCCCTGCTGTCCTTTGTCTGTTCACCAACCTTCACTACTATGTAAGGATCTGACTTTCCATTGGGGTCAGCTGGGGCTAAATTTGTTGCCTACAATAAACCAAGAAAGTTAATAGGCCATTATATACTGTATATTATATAATATTTACACAGCAGTCACCAACTTGAAACAAAAAAAATTGATGCAAAACTCCACCCAAAATAGATTTCCCCCTCTTGGGTTTAGTGGGGTAAGGTTAACATTTTCTTTCTTTTCCCACTAGCTGTTCTCCATAAATTCCTGTGGACGAGGAGTTGTGAGCCACTAAAACGCATTGATTTACCTCCTGATCTTTTATCAAGATTAATAAATCTATACCGGACCAATTATAGATTTGTGGCCGCTGCTGCCAACTATCCCAAGTTCCACTGTCCTCTTGTGGAATGGCCACAACCGGGTGTCAGTGGCTGAATCGGAGGGTGATCAGCACATTTGCAGTGGCTGATCTCCCCTCCGATCACTAAAAAGTGGAAGCGATGATGATTTTGTCAGGCTGTCACTTACTTCAGCAGCTGGAGAAGAAGCCGGTGAAGCATGTAGTGTGCTTTATTAGCTTCTTTGGAATCCATATAGGTAACATAAGTGATCTAATTCTCCATAAAGAGGTTACTTCCTCTGTGCTATCACATAGGGGACATATTAGTCCTATTTTACATATTAATGTAAAAAAAAAAAAGTGTAAAACAATTATAGTTATAGGGAAATTAAATTATAGTATAAATATATAGTTGAATTAAATTATAAAATTCAATTATTGTGAAAAATAAATAAATATGTAAAGACCTTTTTATTCTACAGGGCTATTGCTTTTAGAAAATATATACTTTTTTTGTGGGTTTTAAACAGCTTTCTAACCAAAAATTTTGATTCTAATGTGTGTACAAAAATTAGTTAAAGAGTAGTTAAGTAAAAAATTTAGGAGCAGTGGTGCAGTCATACTTTTACTGAATGATGCTAATGCGAGTCACTCACCTTGACGATGTAAATGCGGACAAGTACTTTCACCGGTCGGTTCCTGGGGACTCCTCTCATTATTTGGAACTCATCAGTGGCTTCCCCTGCTGGGTAGATATAGAAGGAGCCCTACAAAGCACAGTTATAGGAAGGGGAATTAGCGTGGTTCTCCAGCCTGGTGAATTGTACACTGCATCTCACAGATCATAAAATATACCTTGTATTTCCCCATAAAGTTATCATCATCATTACCATCCTCATCATCCAACGCCTTGCCGCGGTACAGAGGAAATACATAAAGCCAGTCTTCAAACTTGTCAAACTCCTCTTCCAGTTCTGCTTTATATATCTGCAAAATATTGCTGCTGTTAATTTAAAGGGGTTGTGTAGTTTTCAATTATTATTTTTTGAGCTACACATATACAAATTAATTGTAACTATATATGTACATTGGGGCTTCTATATTTATTTATGGCTCTGGCTCCCTGAACGCAAGCTTTGTTTTTGATGAGATCTTATACGGTATCATCATTGTTTTAGAAAAATGTTTTTAATGTTTGTATAGCTGTTTGAAGAAATGAAATACTTTTAGATATTTTAATGTTGTGCAACATCTATGGGAAAAAGCAATACAGTGAACTATATTGGAAAGAAGACACAAACATACCTTCAAAGTGGAAATTGGTTTCCTTTTTGGTTTTGGAAGCTCCACCTCCGCATATTCTACTTCCTCGGTAACATCTAAGGTGATGATATTGGCTGCATCTGTAATACAAGCACTGACTGCTATAATACAGTGATATTTATTTTATACACCCCCCCAATGATCCCCCCTTCGATGTTTCCTTGAAGATTATTAACACAACTGTCAGTCCTACCCCCATGTCAAGGTTGTATGTGTAATCCTAAACTCTGACCTGTCCTTTCAGCCCTAAATCTAACCACAGTCCAAATCTTGTCGCCCTCACCTATGTAACATTTCCAAAATTTGCCCTTTCTTACCCAAGGACGTCACCAAGCTAATATTTCACTCACTTGTCATCTCTCGCCTTGACTATTGCATCTCCTTCCTCGTTAGCCTACCCCTTCAGTCTGTCATAAATACTGCTAGACTCATCCACCCTACCAACCCTTCAGTGTGCACAATCCCCCTCTTCCGATCATTCCACTGGCTTGTCCAACAAATAAAATTCAAAGTACTAACAACAACATACAAAACCACCCACAACCCTGCCCCTGACTACCTCTCCAACCTTGTCTCAAAATATCACCCAAACCGTACTCTCTGCTCCTCCAAAGGCCTTCTGCTCTCTAGCTCCCTCGTCAACTCCTCCCATGCTCTTCTCCAGGACCTCTCCAGAGTCTCTCCCATCCTCTGGAACTCCCTACCCCAACCTGTCCGGCTATATCCTACTCTGTCCGCTTTTAGGTGATGCCTGAAAACTCATCTCCTCAACTTTTCCCACCTCAACCTAACAACTGAAATTTTACTCTCAATCAACTCATCCCACTACAATGATTGTCTTTACTATCGCATGGCCGTTCCTTTTAAATTGTAAGCTCTCACAAGCAGGTCCCTATTATGCCTCTTGTATATTACAATTGTATTGTAATTGTAATGTCTCCCTTTACATTGTAAAGCCATGTGCAAACTATTGGTGCTCTGTAAATCCTGAGTCATAAAAATAATACTAATAATATATTTATTTATTTAAGAAATAATTATTATTGGTATTTATATAGCATAGCTGGGCCTCTATCCACATGTGAGCCCCACTGGCAGCTGCTCACAGCCTACAGGGAATATGGCCTGTATTTTACAGTATATGTCCAGTCCTTATGTTTGGGTCAGTCCTGAAATGACTGTTCAATACATCCAAAGAATATTCATCAAATTTAATTAGATTGTCCACCTGAATCAACTCTTCCATTATAGTGGGAGCGATTATTTATTGATCAAGCCCCCGGCTTGGTGTAATCTGTTTCTGGATGATGTGCTTCTTCCATCAAAATTATTATTGTATCAAACATTTGTATCATTATGTGTATGGCCAGTATTGGAATAAATATAAAGTGATTTCATTGCTATACAGTGTTTCTCAGTTTTTTGCCAAAGTAGCACAGATTCCCTTTAAAAATTAAAATTCCCTCCCCCAAACCGTTCTGACCGGACACAGAGTGAGAGTATGAATTTTGAGGCTTCCCCTGTGGCTCCATGCCAAGCAGTCACATGACACATTAGAAGACACAGGGTGACAGGAGAAGCATAGGCATGCATCATCTCACTTTGTGGGAATCCTCTGATTTGGCCAGGTGCCTACAGGAAGTCTAAGGGCTGTTGGAGAAGTTATGCCAGTGTCAGCACTATCCACGGGTCTGCAGTGACCAAGCACAGTAATATGTAATCCACTAAACCACCAATGAGGTAGCAGTGGCTGAGTCACAGGCCTTAAAGTATATCTAAAGCAAAAAGTATTTTTTAGTTTTAAACAGAGTTGGGAATGATTAGAACAGTGGTTCTCAACCTGTGGGTCGTGACTCAAAAGTGGGTCACAACCCACTGTTGAGGGGGTCACCACATGCTTTGTGCTGTGCTAGGTGAGAGGCTCCTCAGCCACCTCCTAGAGCAGCAGTGTCAGTTCTCTTGCCGCGCCGCTAGATGGCGCTGCAGCACCGGCAGCCGAGGAGGATCAAAGAGAGGGGAGCGAGCGGGAGTGAGGGGAGTTGAATGCCGGCTTGACCACCAAAGAGCCCCACTGGCCACCACAGACCCCACACTGGCCACCAGAGAGCCAACAGTGGCCACCAGAGAGCCCCATTGACCGCAAGAGAGTCCCATTGAGCTCACATGAGCCCACACTGGCCACCTGAGAGCCCACACAGATACTAGTATTGGTGCATTCCTAAATTTTACCATTGGGGGTCACCACAACCTGGCAAATGTTACCAAGGGGTCCCAGCCCTAGAAAGGTTGAGAACCACTGGATTAGAACCTTTGCTAAGTTTTTATTGCTGTCTGTGATCCCTTCACCTTTCCCCTTCCCTCTAGGGAGATCCCCCCTCTTTATTTGTCCTGGTAACTACTGTCACTGGGACAGAAAGTAATGGAAAATCTGAACCTTTACAGCTGTCATCAAATCAGGATGGATGGGGAAATGTTTCAATAGGCACATCTGATCTGGAGACCACTGTCTATGGAGGAATTTCCCTTCACTTTGTAGAGATTTTCTCTTTCTTCCTGTTAACCTCAATTAGACAATGACAGCTAAAAAAAAAGTTGACAAAGGTATTAACCTTTTCCCACTCTATCCATTGATGGAAAAAAGTTTTGTCTTTAAAGGAGAACTATGAGGTGAGTGCTTTTCACTCACCTCATAGTTCTAGCCGACCTGTGCCAATGAGACTGTCACAGGTTGGCTCAGTAGATCGGGAGGTGAGCGAACACATACCAGCGTTCGCTCACCTCTCGATCCTGGCACGGCTCTCTGCCATGACAGGGGAGGGGCTGGCTGCCCCCCTCCCCGCTCCGATCCTCCAGCGCTGACTGGCGGAACGGACGGAGGAGGGGGCGTGTACAGCTGGCTCTGCCTCTAGATAGGCAGAGCCAGCTGTCTGCTCATCAGCTGGGCAGATCCCGGCATAATTGTCAGGATCTGCTTCAACTGCGGCGTCTCAGTATACCGCAAGCTACAGCTCGCGGTATACTGAGCCTAGGGTGACGGGAGGACGCTAGTTTGTGTCCTCCCGTTACCCTAAGGAGAACTATGGGGAAAAGCCTTAACCCCATAGTTCTCCTTTAAATATGCTTTAAACCATTGGAAATTTGCAAGGTGACCTGGGCACCCGGGTTTAGTGAGGCCCACTTCATTCCTATATAATGGACTAGGAAAGGGTCCAAGAGATATAGTACATAACCAGCTCCCAGTTGCTAACCTATGTGCACCAAGTTCTACAATATTAGTTTTAGATGGATGAAAGCACATACATTTTTAAAAGACCAACATTCGAGAGGTAAATGTCATATTAGAAATTAAAATGAAGTTGGGGGTTTGGGGATTCAATTTAAATGTATTGGCACTGCTGTGCTGGGTATGTAAAGGTGCAATTAAATTTGCTATTCCAGCAGAATAAAGCTTATTAACACCACCAGCCCATTGGTAATTTCGCATGGCCCTTGTGGGTAGACGCCAGAGTTGCTAGGCTTCCAGTGAAGGTCTGCATTTTGCTGCATTATAAAAAGACTGACATAATAGTGAAAGCAAGCCTTGCCTCCTTCATTTTCAGCTTCTTCATCCTCATCAGCTGCGTCTATCTATAATACAAAATAAATAAAAACTGTTAAAGCACCCATAAAGCATTTCACAAACCAGGTATACTAACTGCTTCATTAGCACATGGCCCAGTGATGATTGTGCTTTGCCAGGAACTATGGCCATCTGTTGCTCTACCCAAGGTTCATCTCATTAGTAATGTGCAGTATGCAGTATGAGCACAAATTGCAATGAATAATCACTATGAAAATAGCAGTCCAAACAAATGAATTCTCCAAAATATCAAAGTATGGGGTATTGCTTGCTTCGGAGGACTGCATAAGAAGATGTGGCAAGCTGGGAGGGTCATGTCATGTTGTCCTCCTTCGAAGCATAAACATTTATATTAAGGCCCAGATGGGGGTTTTTCCAATGCAACTGCAGATATTATGATTATTTAAAGCATATCTGAAGCCAAAACTTTTTTTTAATTTTTTTTTATAGATTTTGGATGGGGTAGGGAAGGGTTTAAGCTAGAGGTGCACCGAAATGAAAATTTCAAAACCGAAACAAAACCGAAATGAAAAAAAATGTTAGGCCGAAACCAAAAAGGTTTTTCTTTTACATTCTAAATAATTTTTTTAATATTTTATTTTTACAAACTTTTACATTTGTATTTTTATTCGTTTTTTATTAAATATTTTAATTTTTTTACTTTATTTTTAGGGGCTTTGGGGAAATATTGGGGGTCTAAATAGGAATCCTCTATGCTGTGTCTTCCTGTTCATTCATAACATGAGGACAGAGTATGTTTACTATATCCACGATCATGAATGAACAGGAGGGGATGTAGATCACTTCACATTCATTCATAATTGAGGATATAGTAACAATACTCTGTCTGTCCTCAACTATTTACAAACACTCAGCGATCACTGAGTGTTCGTACCTCGCTCTCCCTGCCAATAGGGACCCCGATTCCACTGGCAACTGTTGGGGTATACTCCTCACTTTAGAGAAAATTCCTCTCATTTCCGGTTGTGTGTCCAAGACAGGAAGTGGGGGAAAACCTTCCAAACACAGACAACAATTAAATGACCGATAGGGGTTATAACCTTTCTCTGCCCTATCCTAAACTTGAAAAAGTGCTTTGAGTTTTAAGTTAAAATATTTAAATGTTTACATCAGCTTTAAAATCCACATACATATGTTTTCGTCCTTGTGTTTATGGACAGTCAATTCACACTTACTTGGTCTGCTACATCTCTTAGGGATTCATAGTATTTCGACCACCAGTCCAACTCTTCCGCTTCTGGCCTGTCTTCCTCCAGCTCTTCCTCCTTAGTTATTGTTTTGCCCAGACTCTTCAAAGGGTCCTACAATACACAGTTTACACAATGTGATTTCAAAACGATCGCTTCCCACACCCAGCGGAACACATTCTGCCTGTCTGGATCTACTGTATCACGCATTGAAATATCATACACAACCAAAATGGCTTTAATAAAGGTGGTAAAGGGCATCTGCCTATGAGTCACCAGTGAAGGGTCATCAAAATTAAGCCTTGAAGTATTAAAAACATTAGGGACTATGAAAAGGGGTGATATCTTAGTCCCATAGTTAGCTACATAGTGAAATCATTATTCAAAAGCAAAATCCCATATTTTAATAAGTCTCGTAATGGCGTAAAAGATGGGTTTGGTTTGGTGGGTGAAGGGGGTTTGTGTTGTTTTGGTTGGGTGCTGGTGGTTACCTCTCTCCGGCGTCCCACCCAACTCACTGAGGTCACTGGTGTCCCACTCAGCTCCTGGCAACCAGTGACGTCAGTGAGATGGGCAGGATGCCGTCCAGAGCATCCCAGGTTGCTAAGAGCTCTTAGCAACCTGGGATGCTCTGGCCAGAAAGGGGGTGGCGTGGAGGAGGTGGCAGGCACACCTGCTGCCCCCAAGTGTGACCCAAAGAGATGCTGCTTGAGGCAACCGCCTCATTATAGGGAAGGCACTGTTAAAGATATTCTGCTCACTATTATTATTATTATTATTATAATACAGGATTTATTTAGTGCGAACAGTTTCTGTAGGGCCCTATAACCTCTGTCAATGTCTTTGGCATTTGACACTTCTGGGAGTATCAGATGCCTGTGTCCCTGTCATTCCATACTTTGACCATCTTTTACCGCACGACTCAGCAGTGATTTAGGTGTCAGATGGTGGAACCACTCAAGGAATTGGAGCCTCAAGGGCACCCAGAAAGGTGGGTATACCTATATGCAGAGACCTTTCATATGTGTTTTTGTTAACCTGGCAGGGCAGCTTTAAGTATCATCATAAGTATCATTAAATTAAAAGGGGGGATAGAAAACACCTTTAAATTGTCATTGTCGTTTCTACTCTCTCATTGCCATTCTCACACACCCTCATTATGCTGAGAGGGTTGAATTTCTTGTCTTTGTCCTCTTGTTCCATAACTACAACGGCTGGCACGGAAGGCCGGGACATGCGTTTTTTCACTGTAAACAAAGAACAATTTATTTTAATGTTTCTGTGAATAAATATTTTGTTGCCAGCTACATAATTGCACATGCAACCTGCTCACAAGACTACAAAGCATTTAGTATTTTTTTGAACTGTTGCATTTGGATCATTGCTTTATGCTACTTGAGTTCATTGGTATGAGTCATTTAAAATGTATGTCAGGGCGAAATAAAAAATAAAACATATGCAGTACATCTCTCCAATGCATGCATATTTCCCCATGTGTTATCCCTTTAATCCATGCCATCAGTGAGAGCTGGCCGTTTAAGTGGGCCGTGATGTAGAAGGTTGGTAAGAAAGGGTCCCGTTTTTCTATTCACCTAGATTGTCTGCTCTGTGATGACGTCCTACGTGCTCCTGAAGGGAGGAAGAGGGTTAAAGTTGGGTAAGGCCTGAACATTTACTTTATCTGTTGAAGTTCACGACTCTCCTGCTCTAGAGCAGATCACGTAACACCTCCTAAAGCTAAAGCTAAGTTAAACCTTCCTATTAAATGATGTAAATCAATTCAGAGTTCATCAAATAATGTGTGCAAAATCTTATTTAAGATATTAAGGGGTTCATTTATAAAAATTATAGTATAATGGGTGGATGCGGTTCACATGGCACTAGAGCCAGGGTCGGATTTCCCACAAGGCCAAACATGGCCTAGCTTGGGACAGCAGGGAGTAGAGGGGCAGCAGGGGTGTGGAATTTCTATCTCCCGATACCTGTGACATGCAATTCTGGGCGCCGGGCGGGTAGTTGTTTTCTACATTTAACCCTGCTTTGGGCAAGCCAGAGGTAAATGTACAGCGGGGAAGCCGCAGCTTGTTTTATACAAGTAATCTTGGTGATTTTGCCGAGATCATTTGTATGCAGCCTGCAGGTCTGCCATTCTCCATGGGGAGGGGTTGGCAGGTAGGGAGGCGCATTGAGGAACCTGGCCTTGGGGCAGCAGAGAGAGTAAATCCGGACTAGCGCCCCTAGATGTTGCTGGTGAATATAGGAAATATACTCATCAGTGCCATCTAGGGGCACTTGTGCTGTGCAAATGGCATCCACTCAGCTATACGAAGGACGGAACTGTTAAAAATGAACTCCAAGGTATCGATAAGGAAATCACATTCATTCAATTTATTTACTTAATTTTGTTTTACAATTTTCATCTAGTTCATCATTCCCATTACATTTTTTTTTCACAGGCCAATGTATGTGGAAATCCACCTTCATCAGGGCTTCGGTAAAGTTATGCTTAGTTCCTTCCAGGGGTGTTCTGGCTTCTTCTGCAGACACCTCCAGTTAATGTGTATACTATGAGTTATCACTATTCATTTTCTTTAAGTCCAAATACTCCTGAAGTATCATTTTACTGAAGCCCTGAAGAAGAGGGATTTTCTGGACTCTTGAAATGCATTGGCTGTTTTACCATAATGATATTTAACAAAAAAACATTGTCCTGGACCCTATCAAATTGTGGCGGGGCTCCTTCTGTCTTTTTGTTAGTGCCTACTTTCAATCAGATTTAGAGGCCCTACCCATTCCATTTGTTACTCACGTTTCTCCTCAATGCTTTCCTCCATTTCTTTTGGAGCAAACTTCATAAGATTAGAAACTACTGCAGACCCGACCAAGACAGAGCGGCCAAATGCGCGTTTCTCAACTACGAAGATACTCAGTGGTGGATGGAGGTACACTTGCTCTGGAAGTTCCTGCAATGACATGGATATGGTCACATCTACCTGCAGCCGGCTTTGCATCTTGAAGACAGGAAGTGAAGGTAAATCTCCCCAATGCGACATAAATAGCAAAAAATAAATTGGCAGAGTCTCAACCCTTTCCTATCCTAAACTTAAAAAAAAGGGTTTGGGCTATACAATTTAAAGCTGAACTGTTGGTATGCATATGACACCTTCCCTTGTTCAACATGCAATTTAAATTTTTCAATCAATCATCTTGGCTTTCAAGAAATACCTGTTTTGAGACCCAGTGAGGTAGTCACTGGGTCTGTCTGCTGCTCTTTGCTTCCAGTTTGGTGGTGGGGGGGGCACCAAACTTTACACTTGGCACAATGCAGTCAGGCAAGTACCGTTCTCCTAGCAACCGCCAAACCCAGACACGTCCATCGGATTCCCAGACAGAGAAGCGTGATTTGTCACTCCAGAGAACACATCTCCACTTCTCTAGAGTCCAGTGGCGGCGTGCTTTACACCACTGCATCCAACGCTTTGCATTGCACTTGGTGATGTAAGGCTTGGATGCAGCTGCTCGGCCATGGAAACCCATTCCATGAAGCTCTCTACGCACTGTTGCTGTGCCAATCTGAAGGCCACATGAAGTTTGGGGGTCTGTAGCTATTGACCTTTGCAGACAGTTGGCGACTTCTGCGCACTGTGCGCTTCAGCATGTGCTGACCCCGCTCTGTCATTTTACATGGAGTTGCTGTTGTTGCCAGTTGCTTCAAATTTGTTATAATACCACTAACAGTTGACCGTGGAATATTAAGTAGTAAGGAAATTTCACGGAACACCAGAATCCAATGATTTGGAGGAGGTGTCCCAATACTTTTGGCAATATAGTGTATCTTTTGGGCACTTACCACATCCACGCATTTAACCAGTTCTGTGAAATTAGGAAATTCCTTGTAGTGTAAAATGACTTCAGACTCCACCTTCTTCCCGGCACATTCAATGTACACTTGAGGTTGTTCCACTTCAAACAAGTTGATCCTCCTGAGATCTCGCAGCCCCCAGAATAGCATCTGTAAAGCAAATTAAATCTCAAGATTTTTTAACTTGAAGACACAGCAGCAATATGTCTATACCGGGGTGTCAAAGTCAATTTCATCACGGGCTGCATCAGCATTATGGTTGCCCTCAAATGGCCGGTTGTATTTGTAAGACTATATAAATGTATCTACTCTTTATCATATTAAATAATTACCTCTGCATTAGATTATTACTGGTTTTAGTAAAAAATAGCACTGACAGTAAAAGTCTAGGAAAAATAAGCAAAATTAGTGTAATAGTGCGGACTCTCAGGTGGCTGTGCAGGCAGGGCCGGATTCCCGGCAAGGCCACAGAGGCCCAGCCTTGGAGCGGCACTGACAGAGGGGCGGCACACCCGACGCCCAGAACATGGAGTTCCGGGTGCCGGGCGGTATTTTGTTTTCTACATTTAGCTCTGCTTTGAACAAGCAGAGCTAAATGTAGAATAGGAGAATTCACCTGTTTCTTTACAAGTAATCTCGGCGATGTCGCGAGAGACAACTTGTAATTAGACTTCCGGTATATCCTCCCCCTTCCTGTGTGCAGGTTCTATGGTGGGCTGTGCAGACTCTCAGGTGGCTGTGCAGGATCTGTGGAGGGCTGTGTGGACACTCAGGTGGATGTGCAGGTTCTATGGTGGGCTGTGTGGGATCTCAGGCGGCTGTGCAGGGTCTATGGTGGGCTGTGCTGGCTCTCAGGTGGCTGTGCATTTTCTATGGTGGGCTGTGTTTGGTCTGTGCTGGTATTATGGTGGACTTTGCAGACTCTCAGGTGGCTGTTCAGGTTCTATGGTGGGCTGTGCTGGGCTTAGGAGGGCTGTGCGGTCTCACCAGAGGTCCCACTCAGTCTCGGGGGTGCGGAAGGTGGTGTGGATCCACAGGCAGGAGGAGATTTGCTACCGGTTGTTGTAATTATCAGCGTTCTGCTTTAAATTTCCTATATGTTATTCTATTATGAGATATATTTACCTCTATTCTGAATTCCTTTAGGACAGGCCGGATGCCTTTTGGAATAATGTAACGGTCAATGGCTTCATCCATGTATTCTGGTTCCTGGGGTATTATGTAATCCGGCAGTGCTGGCTAAGGCAAAGAATAAAGAGTTAATAATCAATAAAACATTGTAAACATTTACTGCATAATTTACATAGAAGTTGATAGACAGTTGGTTAACTGATGAGCTGTAGGCCCTGGTGCTTGAACTGTTATTGCAATTACATCACCATATTGAGTGCTGTGGTATCAATGCATTAGTATGCTGAGGTCATCACTGGTGGCCATGCAAAGTCTGCTGCCTGTACTGCAATGATGAGGACATGAGCCCACAGTCCAGACCTCTGCTCAATGGTAGCTGCACCTTTGGTCTTGGCATCTACATTCCTTGTGGACCCTTTAGATAAAGGTTAGTTCAACTGATAAGTGACAATTTAGTTTTGAAAGATGCCAGAGGATGCAATCGCTCAGCTTTTCTTATATCTCTTGAAAACTCTTATCTCAATCCCCTATTTCAAAATGCCCCCCCCCCCCCCCCCCTTTGGCGCGTAGGGGACTCCA